GGTGGATTGGAACTCACAAAATCTTTATCCACCAATGAATTAATGTGCCAACTCATCGGTGCTTAGGATAAGATGAGCACCGGTGCTCATTAGATCATTTCTGTATATATATATATATATATATATGTATCGTTGCAAAAAATTATTCCACTTTCCTCGTTATGATATTAATATCTGAAGTTTAATATGCACCATATATTTAAATTATTGGCTCCATATATTCCAATTCTTTTATATTCTAATAAATTTTGAACCTGCATAACAGCTAATACAAATACGAAGCTGTTGAAGTATCTCTTTCAATTATTAAACTTCAAATATAACTCAATATGCTGGTACCCAAGTACTAACTCTTATATATAAGTCAGAAATCAAGGCAACGCACCATCTATTCCAATTCTTCCACTTTCCTCGTAATACACCACAACGTGATTAGACTTACCAATTAGGACCCTCGTTTAATCATTGTTGTCTAGATTATTTTAAATGGTAAATGACAAATGGGATAACTTGTGTCTGCATGATGTTCACTGGGTTTAGGCCATTAAAAATGTGAGCAATATCTCTGGGAAATAGTAGTTTTGTCTTGTTAACTATCTGAGTCCTATGTACTTGCTTGATTTCTAATGACATATTATGTGGATGATCCAAACTTCATGGATTCTAAGAATGATTTGGAGTCTTATCGAGACGACATCAAATATGACAAAAATGTGACTGACGGGAATGAAATGGGATTGTTTGGCCGTGGAGATCAAGTTCCAGACGAATAGCCCTCAGGGGAAAACCAACAACCACATTTGTATGTTACTGATTTTGAGGAAATTATCGAATTTATGTGGAAGTTATGGTGCTGCTTTTGAAAATTCTAGGTGAGGTCAATACTCTTGTTTTTACAATGGAATTATTTCTTTGGCTAGTTGCTAATATTGCTTTTAATTGTGTCACTTCAACAAGGCAGTCCAGAGAATAACCAAAGGGTTTGGCAGTTTTGCTTGATGCTTACTGGAAAAGGCAACAGATCGTTCATTTCGATGTTGATGAAGATTGTATAATCAATTCTGGAAATTTATTGTGAAACAAATCTTGAAGAAATGAATTTTTGTGCTTTTAATTTAGCGTTTGGATTTATGTGGTGCTACTAGTGTTTGCTTTCCCCCTCTCTTGTCAGAGTATATGTTTAATGAGATGGCACAATGATTTTCTTTTTTTTTGGGGCAGGCAAAGGCGGGAAGCAATCTGAGATTAGAGCAGAGTTATATTTGATGTCCAGACGCCGTAAATGATACCACATTAATTTTTACTTGTTACACGATGTTCCCTTAACACTCCATTTACGTGTTGTAAGTTCTTTTTTTTCTTTTTTTTAACGTCTTAAACATTCCTCCTCCCAAAGATTAAAAACAAGGGGACAAATTGTATTTTCATGTGACCAATGAATAACTTGTTTCACCCTACCAAAATTATATTTAGCGCAACAACCTGGACAGAAAGGTATTATGGCATATTGACAATCAAACATGACATATTGAATGCAGCAACCTGGCCACAAAGGTATTATTTGCACTATAGCTAGATTCAGAACACCAACAATCTGTATATGCTAGGATAAAGCTGTTTGTACACCGGGTGTACGTACAACTGTTTCACATGAATAGTGTGTACGAATATTTTATTGTGTGTGGAACCCCCCTCCATGTGAGGAGGGTGTAAAAGATTGTGTGAATAATTATGTACATGTAGCATGATTGGTATATGCTATATTCAGTTTGCGAGCTTGGAATTTGTGAATTGTTAAAATAACAAACACTAACATCATGTCACAAAGTCTACAATGTTCAAACTCAAATGACAAATGCTGTACGACAGAAATAAAAAAACACTTGACGGATACGATAACAATAGAACAAACTTAACGAATAAGATAACATTGTTTTAATCAACAACATATGCACCTATGCGGTCTAATTTCATGGAGCTTTTCTCTTTGAGTTTCCTGTTCTCATGTATACGACTTTTACACTTGAGGATCGAAACATTGAATGAGATTTCCACTTCCCTTTGTTCAGTTATTTGAACCAAACTCTTCAATACACGGGACAAATCTTCTAGTGGGTTTCCTATAGATATGACAAATGCCCTTATTCTTCCTGCCATGGAAACCTGCTATTGCAACCACAGACGATAAAATTATCACTCGATACAAAAATCGATGTTAACATTTATGCTTACTGCTCACCCACACATCAATTGGCAAACATGGAGTTATCCTAATCACATTGGCAATACATACACCCACTCAATACAAAAATCGCAGTTAACATGTATGCAGTATGCACTGTCAAAATCAAATGAAAAACAGGATAAAAATTTCACAAATTACTGCAATTTTCACAAAATCGGATTTCTTCCTACTGCAATTTTCTCAGACACTCCATTAGCTAAATAATCAAATTAATTAGTTTTGAAATAATAAAATTGCAACTTAAAAATGAGTGTGAATTGGATTATGAGAGTAATCGTATAAACATGTTTTTTCCTCCATTAAAGACTAGAAAATAGTGCAATGGTAAAATCTTCTTGAATCTTGACCATTGATCGGAAAGAAGAAGATGCATGCAAAAAATAAAATGAGTTACGAAGAAAATCAATTTTCCATTCAAAAATCAACTCATGACCTACCATAGTAACAATTTTACAACAAACAGGAACAAAAATTACATTTTTATCTATAGATGAATTTGAAGCTCAGAAAAATTAGACGACCCGATTTAGGATACTACGGTGTACAATGTGAATTACCCGAACGAATTGAATGGTTTTCAAAATAGCGTAAGATGTGGGAGAAATAGATTTCAAAATGTTAGGGCTTGCGAGATCTTGGGAGGTTCTTGGTTTAGACACTTATGCCCCGTTTGACTAGAACGAATTCCATGGAAAATGTCGAGGAAAACAAATTTCATTTTGACCGTTTGATTACAACATAAAAATGGAAATCGAATTTTAATGTACAACCACTTTAAGCTGCATTTGCTTTGTTTTCATGGAAAACAAATTTCTATGGGTTTTATGTGTTTTTATTTTCAAATTAACATTGGAATTCCTTTCCACCTTTATCTATCAAACGGCCCTTAGGGTTCTTCGCGAATGGGAGCAATTGATTTGAGAGGAGAGACTTAAAGCTAAAATTGGGTTATGATTTTGTGAAGTCGTGTGAAATGAAATTGGTAAAGCTGTGCTGGGATGCGCCACGTGGAAGCTAAGTTGGCAAATCACTTACTACTTGGAAGGAGTTAACTGGCCATATCCTTTTTTCGTCTGTCACATCAACACGTCTATTAATGATTTTTATCGGGTGGGTGATGTCATTGGACAGAACAGAGTTCAGTAACCATTAGGACAATTAATGAACTTCGGTGAATAAATCGTAAAGTGGTGCAACGTTCAGCTGCCAATAAAACATTTAACTCGAATTCCATACAATACTATAAAAAATAACTCGAATTCCATACAATACTATAAAAAATAAATGTATGGGGTTCAATTCATCTATAGTCTATTAGTGTCATCATGACCACCCAATTTGATTTTAATTCACCATGATCACCCAACTTCATATAATGTTACAGTCAAGTCATCGGTTAATAGACTATCATTTATTTAACAGAACATCCTGCGTAGTCACTAACGGTGTTAAAAATTGACAAATGAACAAAGTCCATTTCAAAAATAAAGTTTTCTTAAGAAAATTAAATAATCGTTTTTTATCCAAGTTTCATACATATGATACTGGGAATTAATTTTCCCTATATCCCTATATCCCTATACAATAAAAGAGCCACTTTGGAAAGTACTGTTCACAATTTCGTCCGATGAAACGACATCGTTTTGGCCCAAAAAAAAAAATTCCTTCTTTATCCCAACACAACCTGTCTGCTTCCTCTATCTATTCCCAGTCGTGAAAACGAAGAAACCCTATTGCGAGAGGAAACCTGTCCAGCTCCGGCACCGGAACTGCCCCCACCGGACTACATTCATCCATCCCCAACTTGCGTGAAAGGTGAGTTCTTAATTTTCTCCCGGCAACGAGGTGGTCTCGCGGTGCCTCCGTGTCTCGTGTCTCTCCTCGACTCCGTTTCTCTTTCTCCGAACATTCGTCTTTGTGCCTCTATTCCCTATTTCTGCACTCAATCGAAGCACCCTTTCCCCAGAAAGGTTTGATCTCTTACCCACTCTTTCCCCATTTCTACACTCAATCGAAGTTTGTTCTCTTCCTCAATCGCCTCTATCGCACTGATTTCTTCCTCTTCTTTCACTGTTTTCCTGTCTCTGCACTGAACAACTCTTCGCCTCTTTTTTTTTTCCTTCGGTTCTGTGTTTGGTGCTCGACTGAAAAAGGGCAGGATGGATGAAAATGGATTTCTTCTTGGTTATTGCATCGATTTCTTCTTCAAGCAGAGGACGAGACCATCGATCTCCTCTTCCATGAGCTCCACCACTCTCCCGTAAATCTTTACTTTTAAATTATTTTACCGAACGTGAATTTTGAATTACTTTTTATGCTGTTGACGCTGCTTCTTTGCCTCGCACTCTTCCATATACATAGAAAAGCACAGGTGAAGCGATTCTTGGAGTCCGTCATCCCTTCAATTCCGGCTCAACATTTATCCAAGGTTTCCTTGATTGTAAATTAATTGAAATTTTGGAATTTGTGCTTAATTAATATTTGACTTTATCAGTAGTGATTAGTTCCAACAGATGGGTTTATTCTATTGATGATATAAGGATATCCTATGCGATTTTAGAAATACTTTGGCTATGGAAAATGGTATACTGCTCAGATGAGACTTCATTTTTCAAAGGCTGTAGCTTGTTGACAATTGTTTCGTTGGTTTTTTGATGTTGTAATTTAATATGTCGTGTGTATATTTGAGTGCACGTGTGCATCCAATGGTTAAAGTTGATTTCTGTATTATACTCTGCCTTTTCGTTAGAGTTTGCCTATAAATTACGCTGAATTCAAATTTTGGCTTCAATGTTGGGGGATGCTGAGATTTCTGATTTAAACACTTCCCCCATGGAAACAAGAGGTTACAATCTTGAAATATCTGATTTCCTGATTTGTTCCTGATTTAAACACTTCCCCCATGGCTTCAACTGTATGTTCTGATTTGCATTTGGATGATTGTTCAGAAGATTAATACGGGAAAAATAAGAAGAGATTAAAAGGTATGATTTCACTGTGATTTTTGTTTGATTTTGCTATTTTTAATTGTATTTTTAGAAATATTTACTTATGCTTGATAGATTGAAAAGGGTGAAACGTTGGAAAGGTAGATTGCTCAATGCTTATAATTTAGCGAATTCAGATTCTTGTCCTTAAATTGACAAAGAAACATTCAACAAAGTGGTTAAGAGTTCTCCTTTGTTTTTTGAAGCAGCTTGAGTATTGTTTCAAAGTAAATAGATTAATTTATAGCTACGGGATCCTGATAGAAGAGCTTAGACAAGGGAGAGGTCAACTGACACTAATATGACATGATGTGGTCGCAATAAATTTGATTTTATCGAATCTTTCAGTGGATGTGGCATTGGATCTAATGGAGTGACCAAGAAGGATTGATGTAGGCAACCCTAAGTTTATATAGGAAGACTCATTTTGGGTTTGTGATACTCATTAGTTTCCTTTGCCCCTTTCCTCATGTGCATGTGCTTTGCACTTGAGCACTTACAAAAATATGTAACATAAAATCTTTATATATTGACACCTTTTTTGTGCATGTGCTTTGTACTTTTGCATTTACAAAAATGTGTAACTTAAAAGTCTTTATATATTGACACATTTTTCCTTAACTGCAGGATAGATTCACTTTCAATTTTACCAGCATCTTTTGTGTCCCAAGATGCAGCTAAGATTCTCTCATTTTGTCCGTCTGTTCAGAGTGCTCTTAAGGTATTAATCATTATTCTGTCACTCTCCACATTTTGGCTATGGTTGAAGACTTGTTTGTAACTTTTCTTATTAACTTCTTTCATTTCTCAGCCTGACAAAGCGCTCTGTTGGGGGAATCTTATGTTTTCAGCAATGGTTTTGTTAAGGTAAATCTCCACATTATTCAACATTACTACATCTAAGACTAAGAGAGTCGTTGAAGTTTGGTTTCCCAGAATCTATAAAAGAAATATCACTCATTATTGTTATTAAGTATCAATAATTTTATTCCAATTATTCTGCTTGCTATAGTAATTTATGGATCAAATTTCAGGTATGCTTATTGGTGAACTCTTTTCCAAGCGGCAAGGTTGTTCGTATATCTACAGAAGCTCAAAGTTTGTGATAATTATTTGTGAGTTTGGGTTAAGTTGAGCTCGGGCAGGTAGGAAATGCATTGCTGAAAAGCTTTGGATTTACTTCATTTTTTATGCGTTCCTTTTTACTCGGGGTTTGATTCTTCGAATTAACTAATTATTGTAAATGTCAATTTTATTTATTTATTTAGCCAAAGCTGTTGGTTTGCTTATTCATGAAGTTAAAGTGCTATTCTGAGGTGTCAGTTCCTAATATATGATGAGAATTTCAGGCTTATGCTAGCACTTCTCGTTATAGATTACTCGCAGCAGTTTGGAATGTTTTGCAAACTGAGGTAAATAGATGTGTTCTTAGTTCCTTTTTTTTCCATTTGCAAATTTTATTTCAGTGGCATCAAGATAATGATTAATGAGATATTATTTTAAGTGTGTACTGATGCATATGTTAATTCTGGCCTACTTGTCCCACTTCTAATTTGTTTTACTATCATTACATCATTTTCTAAATTTGAGTCTTTATTTCATGTACAACACGCTCTAGCCATTGAGTGACTGTACTCTTAAGTTACTTTGTTTCCCTTGTGTTATAGGCTGAATTTATTATGTAGTCAAATATTTATTATGTAGTCATTGAGTCAAATATTTTTCCTACTGTCAGGGAATTGACCAAGCAACTACGGCCATGAATGCACTTCAAGGAATCTCACTACCATCATCGGATCAGGGTGGCATGCATATAGAGTAATCTCCTATTGCTCAATATTTTTCACTTTTTGAGTTTTTTTTGAGTTTTATTTAATCTTTAATCAAATTTCCTAGAAAATCATCTTCGTTCCAGAATGAAAATATTACAATACACAATAGCCAATATCATTAATTGTTAGATGGAAATGCTATTGCTCGTCATACTATTGAAACTTTGATGTGTTTTATGAATTTGTATCATCGAACACTAAGTTAAATATAGAATGACATTTAGTAATTGATCCTTTCTTTCATACTAATTGCGGAACATCATAAATCTTTTGTTTCGGATCTTTTCTTAATGCATTGGCTGGCAAAGGAGTTCATGCTGTAATTGTTAATGATTATTTGGCTCGACAAGATTGTGAATGGGTTGATCAAGTTCCTCGTTTTCTTGGACTGAAAGTGGGCCTAATCCAACGAAGGTCTTTATTATAATTTGTTTCTCAACTGCTTGGTTCTGAGCATATAGTTTATTTCACTTGCATGGAATCAATTGTGTACAAGCCCGTGACTCTCATTTATGCCTAATATGTCTTCAAATCACTCCACGCTATTAAATACCCAATTAAAATATAGCACGTGCATCGCACGTGCGTAAACTAGTATATATATAAAAGTGAACTTTTTAAGCTTTGCCAAACGTGACTAGATTAATTTTTGCGTCCCTCAAAAATGACACCCGAGTAACAAACAAAAGAAAAGAATGAGCCTGTGGGCTGCGTTCGTTCTTGGGTTTGTGGACTTGCAGATTGCCCTTTACCACCCCACCCAGCCCCGCCTCGCCTCCCCCAATACTCCTCGGTCACCAACTACAATTTTTCAAGAAACATGTCTTTTTGTGGGCTGCTATAATTTCCTTCTTTGATTTGTCAATCAATCATTTACCGGTACGCTCTTTCTTTATTCTATTATATGGGATTGTTTAAGTTCAAATTTGATTGCAAAAGTTCATCTTTGTAAATATTTTTCCTGTTGCAAATAAGATATTATTGTTTGATTTGTGAGTGTAAGAAACAAGAATCTAAAGAATCTTAACCCAATGGAATTGCATGTTTCTATGAATAAAGCTGCAAAAATTTAAACACTTTCTTTAATTTCCGGAATTTGCGTCTTTATAGCTGTTCTGTTGCTTTTATTTCTGAGTAATTAGGATTTCCAATCTGGAAGCTATTTTTCATGTTTCAAGTCTTTTGGACTGCCCATTTCAAATATAATTCTAATATTAGTAAAACTGAGAGCATGTTTGACCTTTCTTTTAATTGTAGAAGACTATAAAGAAGCCATTTTCGGCATTTAAGTTTTGCCAAACAGGATCTAAGGTTTTTGGGCTGCAGGTAGCATCGTTTTGGGAGAAGAAGGTTTGAGTGAGTAATTATACGGCTTCCAAAAATACATTATTGATTGTTGGAGGAAACGGATTGATGTCGCTGCGAATAAAGACGGTTGTAGATAAGTTTGTGCAGGAGCTGAAGGACGCCCTGGATGCTGACATACAGGACAGAATTATGAAGGAACGGGAGATGCAGAGTTACATTGAGGAGCGTGAACGCGAAGTTGCTGAGCGCGAAGCTGCCTGGAAGGCCGAACTCTCTCGCCGTGAGGTACCCTAGTTGAAGTTTTATTAGTGAAATGGAAATACGATTTTGAGGATGTTAAGAATGTGAACTGAAGTAGTGGATATAGAACGATGAAAGAGTGTTAAAACTTAAATAAATTTTCCGTGTAAGAATTACAAAGAGAAAGATCCAATCTATAGGGATACAAATAACAATAAAAGAGAAGAATTTTATACTAGTTACACAATTAAACTTGTGAAATATGAAAATTCTCACAGTATCACTATAACGTGGAAATCTTTTTATTATCTTTAACGAAGGAAATGACTTGCTGTTTCTATTAATGTATAATTCGAAACTGTGTTGTAAATATTTTCGCAGAAGATTTCATGCTTGCTGGTTGTGAGTCATTGCCTGATGCTAATATATTAAGCAACTTGCTTATTCTCACCTTTAAGACACTTTTTGAGTCATCCGTCTATTGCAAGGGAGCTTGTCCGTACAGAAAATCAATTCTTCAGTCGAGGAGTTAATTGATATATTTTAATTCTTTACAGTGGGACAGTTTTTCGGCATTTGATGGGACACTGCTAGTGGTTGTCAGTTACTTTTTTTCAGAATATTTTGCTTGCCTCTCTTTTTCTAGATCAACAGCTTAGGTAACATTCTTCAGACAACTGATATGATTTGTGTCTTATTAAAAAGACAGCCAAGATTGGCAAAATTTCTATTCAATTTCGAAAGTCTGCTCAGGTGGGCCATTTATCTGTTCTAGACCTGCTATAATATTCTGTTTTGAGTTGTGAAGAATGTGCATAGAGCCACATTAAGAAAGGAAATATGTAGACATCACCTTATCTTTAAAGGCTTTAGTGGTATTTGTCTGTTGTGTATACTGGGACGGGTAGAAAAGTTTTAAACATTGATGGCATGTTTGACACAGAGGCTTGGATAGTATTGAGGAACAACAAGTCTTATTTATTATAGTGTCTCGTATTGCATACTAAACATGACGGTGTAGACTTGCACAGTTATCTTCCCTATTTTGTTGGTAGAACCTTCATTTTTTCTTGGTGCATTTGAGTGGAAAGAGGGAATGAAAAAGGAAAATTAAACTCTTATCAAAACAGATGGAAGAGCCTAATAGGCTGAAATTGGAAAACTTGATAATATTTTGGCTCATCTACGCAAAATTGACCATCAGCATACTTTTGAAGTTGTTCTAACAATTTCTAGACCTGAGCATGACATAAGAAGATTTGAGAATGAGAGATCATCCTCTGGTGCAAATCATACTGATGTGGTATCTCAACCTTGTTGAAAAGTAACATGTATCTGAATTTAGCAGATAAATTAAGCTTTAGTTGACTTTGTTTGATCATACCTTTTGGAAAAAAATGAAAAGCAGACCGGCCTTTCGCCTCCAAGTATACTTGGGGTTTCTTCTTGTTGCTTATCTCATTTAGTCTGGTCAAATATCCACAACTGCTATCTATTTATTATCCACACATTTAGTAGGACCCACAACTTATAAGCAATCCCAAGCATGCAATTGTGTAGGTCGTTGTCTGAAACTAACTGTTTAAGCTGTGTTTAATAATTTCATGTTTACTAATACATCTTTCCCTCATTGAACTTCCTGAGCCATGATTCTTCCATGTCTGTCCGCAATCCATCCAAGTCTTTTGGTTAGCGAATTTCTTCACCTTCCTTCTATATTTTCTCTTAGGGTGCTATTGTTATAGCTCTCAACTAGGAGCGTGTATAGCTAAGCTTAGGAAAATTAAAAGAAGTTGCCGAACAAAATGTCTCAAAAAAAATTTAACTTTCAAAAAAGCTCAAACATATTTTGAAAATGGTTACTTAAAAAGTAACTTTTAAGCTTAGCCAAACATCTCTAAAGTCTATTTCTATGCCTTAGCCACCTAATTCATCTTCCCACATTTGGGCTTACCCGTGACCATGTGTTTGTGAAAGGCTGTCAAATAAATACATACATGCCTTCCTTAAAAGGGTTCTTGCCTCTGATGAAAATCAGTATGGCAAAATGAGAATGATTTATTTACTATTGTTTTATTGTCAATGGTGATTAAGAAAAAGAAAAGGAATGGAATTCTTCAAGTCCTCGTTTATGACTTGTAGGTTGCCGTTATCTATTTCTTACAAATTTTAAGTTTTGCTTTAAATAAACCGTATCTGTTTTCCGTTCTCTTTATGATTTCTGAGCGTGACTGTGTTGTTACAGGGTGAGATTGCTAGACAAGAAGCAAGGCTAAAGATTGAAAGAGAAAATCTCGAGAAAGAGAAAAGCGTGCTTATGGGAACTGCGTCAAATCAAGATAATCAAGATGGAGCTCTTGAAATAACAGTAAGCGGCGAGAAGTATCGTTGCCTCAGGTTTGCAAAGGCAAAGAAATGAGGCACGCAAATATTTATTTTTTACACTAGCTCTTTATATCATGTTTGGTAGGGATAAATGAATACCATTGGACAGTATCGCGAGATAAATGAGGTAAAGTTCATTATACTATATTGTCGTACTTACCAAACATGCACTTACTAGTTTAGAAGTCAATTGGATGCTTTTTAGTCTTGTGAATACAAGCACCTGATAATTTAAACGCTGAGCTTGTTTCAAATTATTTAGCAATGAAATTGTTTGGTTTTTCTTGATCTACTTATGTAAATGATTGATTCCCTCCTTATTGGATCAAAATAGATGACCGTCCGTTTATCACTACTTACCGATTAATACCTTGATTTGCTATTCGGTAATTTGGTGGGGTCAATGACCAGGTCGAATTAGATAACTATGTTCACTATCCATATTTGGAACAATGTTTGTATTTAATTTGATTTTTTTTTTTTTTAAATCCAAATCCTTGTGCTGAATTCAAAGAGGCTACGCAATCTACTGCCCAAAGTGTTAGAAGCAATTACTAATTCAACTTCTTCATTTTAAGAGAGGGGGGAAAAACCAATAATTTCATCACAGAGTATTAAAATGTTACAATTTTTCTTGTATTTTGGTTATTTTTTTTCTAATTGACGTGACTTGTATTTTTTGTATTCTTCTATAATTTTTTTTATTTGATATGAGAAATATAAGTTAGTTACTTTGTGTTCTTGATCATTTGATTAGGTAAGTAGTGTGAAGAAACGAGTGCTTCTATTGATTTATTGAATTATATTACAAAACCTACTTCAACCTGTTTATATATTACACGAGGTAACTATGGAAAGGAAAAGAAATCTTCTAACTAAAGAAAGAAAATTACAAGTCTCTAATTAACTAAAAATAATAATCTTAATTGATTCAGTTTTCTACATTCCCCCTCAAGTTGAACTGTAGATATTGATCGTGTTCAACTTACAATTGAGGTCATTGAAGGTTTGTCGAGGCAATCCTTTTGTGAAAATATCCGCAGTTTGTTTCTTTGTAGGAATATAAGCCATACAAATAATTTCATTGTCCACTTTTTCTTTAATGAAGTGTCTGTCCACTTCTACATGTTTGGTTCTGTCATGTTGTACTGGATTGAGAGAAATGTTGATGGCTGCTTTGTTATCGCAATAAAGCTTGATTGGATATTCTGTGTCCATTTTCAATTCCTCTAAAAGTTTCTTTATCCATAATCCTTCACATATCCCTTGTGCAACTGCTCTAAATTCAGCCTCAGCCTACTTCTTGCTACTACATTCTGTTTTTTACTTCTCCAAGCTACCAAATTTCCCAAAAACAAAGGTACAGTAGCCAGTAGTGGATCTTCTATTTTCAAATGATCCGGCCCAGTCTACGTCAGTGAATACTTCAACCCTTTTTCCTTTGTTTTTTTTTTTTCGAAGAATAACCATTTCCCTGACGATCCTTTTAGATATCTCAAGATTTTATAAACAGCTTCAAGGTGAGCCTCTTTAGGTGCATGCATATGTTGACTTACATTGCTTACTGCGAAGGCAATGTCAGGTCTAGTATGTGCGAGATTGATTAGCTTACCAACTAATCTTTGATATCTGTCCATTTCCACTGGTTTTCCTACATCCTTTATTTTTGTTGTCTCAAGAGGAGTGTCNATCCTTTATTTTTGTTGTCTCAAGAGGAGTGTCGCTTGGTTTGCATCCTAGCATGCCAGTTTCAGTCAAAAGATCAATAATGTATTTTCATTGTGAGACACTGATGCCTTTCTTTGATCTTGCAATCTCCATTCCCAAAAAATACCATATTTGTCCTAGGTCTTTTATCTCAAATTCGGTGGCCAAACACTACTTTAATCTTGCCATCTCCTCTAGGTTGTCCCCTGTTAGGATTATGTCATCAACATAGACAATTAGGTTTGTCTTCGCACCGCTACTAGATTCGTGGAAGAACATAGTATGATCAGATTGCCCTTGCTGATAGCCTTGAGTTTTCAAAACTTTGCAAATCGATCGAACCATGCTCTGGGTGACTGTTTGAGACCATATAGAGACTTCTTGAGTTTGCACACATTATCTTCATCATTACCTTTGTTAAACCCAGGTGGTATTGTCATGTAGACCTCTTCTTCCAGTTCCCCATTCAAAAATGCATTTTTAATGTCTAGCTGGTGGAGGGGTCAGTCAAGATTCACTGCTAAGGAAAGGAGGACTCGAACAGTATTTAGTTTTGCCACTAGTGCAAATGTCTCTGTGTAATCAATGTCGTATGTTTGAGAATACCCTTTGGCGATTAGACGGGCTTTGTAGCGTTTTATTTCTCCATTGGCCTTATACTTCACATTGAATACCCATCTGCATCCTATTGGTTTCTTTCCCTTCGGTAGTCTTACAACTTCTCAAGTCCCATTTTTCTTTAAAACTTTCATTTCCTCCATTACTGCCTCTTGCCATGTTGGTAATTCCAGGGCCTCTTGAATATTTCTCATAATGTCTATTTCATCCAGTTTAGCAGTAAAAGCACGAAATCTTGCAGATAGAGTATTATAGGACATGAATTTTGAGATAGGATGAAGAGTACATGACCTAGTTTGTTTTCTGAGAGCAATGGGTAGATCATTATCTGGAGATGTGATTTTACTGAGATTCTCATCAGGTCCTACCACATGTTCCAACTCTCTTGGTGCTTCAGGTGTGAGGGTTTCCTTATACTTTGATTTAGGCTTCCATGAGTAAACTAGAATCTCCTTGTCGCTGTCTTTCCCAACATCTCCCCCTGAAGTCAAGTTTTCCTTTGTATATGGCATATTAGAAGGTAAGGTGACAGGTTCTGGATAGGAGTTAGAAGGAGATAGATGAACGTCTAAATATTCATGTTCCTTTTCCAAGAATCGAGCTTGATTTAGAATCTCCCCCTGAAGAGAAGGTTTTTGGAAGTAAGGTGTATTTTCGAAGGAGGTGACATCAAGATTGACAAAGAGTTTATTGGTGGATGGATCATAGCATTTATAGTCTTTTTAAGTTGGTGAGTACCCAATGAAGACACACTTAATTGCACGGGGCTCAAGTTTGTTCCAAAGATGAGAGTGCACGTGTACAAAGGTAGTACTATCAAATACCTTGAGAGGTAGGTTTGAGTGAAGATGAGAAGTCGGGAAGTGTTTGTGGAATCTCTGTATAGGTGAGTCAAACGAGAGAGTACGACTTAGCATGCGGTTGATGAGGTATGTAGATGTCAGAATGGCATCTCCCCAAAAAATTTTTGGCATGTTTGCAGTGAACATTAAGGCACGCGCAACTTTGAGCAAATGTCTATTTTTGCGTTCTGTAATCTCATTTTGTTGGGGAGTGTTGACGCAAGAATTTTGGTGGATGATTCCATGTTGTATTAAGTAGTCTTGCAAAGTGTTATTGAAGTATTTTGTGCCATTATCAATGTGCAGAATTTTAAGTTGTGTTTGGAATTGGGTTTGAATCATAGAGTGGAAGTTTAGAAATACAGATCGAACATCAATTTTTTCTTTTAGTAGGTAAACCCAACAAAGGCTGGTGTGATCGTCAATGAATGTAACAAACCATTTTGTGTGAGTACTATTAGGGGTATGGGAAGGTCCCCATAAATTACTGTAGATCATGGTGAATGGTGTAGATGGTTTATACGTGGCCTTTGGAAAGGATGTACGCTGATGTTTTGCAAATTCACAACTCTCACATTGGAAATCAATTGAAGTTTTATTGAAGAAGTGTGGAGGAAGTATCTGTTTCAAGTATGGAAAACTAAGATGACCCATTCTATTATGCCATAAGAAAAGTTCACTATCTCTAGTAATAGATGCAGAATTACAGTTATTAAGTCAACCTAGTTTACTCACATCAGCTTCATCAAAGTAATACAGTCCCCCACATTCTTTAACACTGCCAATCGTCTTCCTGATGAAAAGTCCTGAAATACACAATGAGATGGAAAGAAATTAGCAGAGCAATTGGACGTTTTGGTTAGTTGACTAATAGATAGCAAGTTGCAGGACAAATTTGGAATGTGAAGGACATTATCAAGTGTTATAGATTCAGAAATTTGGATACTCTCTTTTCCCGCGACGGAAGAGGGGGAGCCATCTGCAATTTTCACCTTAATATTTCCAGCGCAAGTTGAGTATGATGAAAATAATTGATAGGAATTCGTCATGTGATCGGATGCACCCGAGTCAACAATCCAAGAGGTCTTAAATTTTGATGTGCTTAAGGCTTGTAGGAAATTACCTTTATGAGTTAAGGAACTGGAATGACTTTTGGTAAAAGACTGACCAGATGTTTGAAGGCTAGAAAATATTTGATAGAGTTGCTCCATTTGTTCAGAATTGAATGCACCACTCGAACCAGAATTTAATGTCGCAGGCTGGTATCCTCGACTTCGTGTATTTTGCTTTGGTTTCCTATCGGTGGGTTTTCCATGAAGTCCCCAATGTGTGTCTTCTTTATGTCCTGGCCTGCGTCAATGCTCGCACCATGGTCGTCCTCGTTGTTTTTGAGTTGGCCCATGTGTAGACCCTTTTAAAGAAATGCCTCCACCATCACCATTTAATTTTTGGAAAATAGGTTCCAGGCCCAATGTTGATTTATCCAGGCCCACTGCTGTTTTTAAGTTACCCGGACCAAGTCCACCTGATTTTGGCCCAATAAACCGTTTAAAGTATGGTCCACCACTTCTAACATTAAGGGCCAACATCTCTCCACCTCCAAAAGCTTCGATTCCACCTCCAGAAGCTCTAATCGTCTCCTTCATCATTACCAGTCGCCGCGCTTCCTTTCGGCGAACTTCTACAAACACCTCTCGAGTCAGCGGCAGTGGTTTTCGACCCAAAATCCGTCCTCTAACATCATCTAATTCGCGATTCAGCCTCGTGAGAAACTCATAGACCCGTTCATTCTTTTGCTTCTTTTTGTACAGAGAACAATCTTCTGGGCACTTCCATTCTTCTTCTACACTCAAACCCGAGTTCTTGC